ACCTTTAAAACACAACATGCGCTAAGGTTTCTCTGGAAAATTTGAAAGAGTAGACAATGAAATGAATTGAAATAAATTGAAATCGAGTAAGTGCGAGGATAAAGCCGGGAACACACCTTCGACACGGTACGTCACGTAACGAGCTGGCGCATACCGTGACGTGTAATAAATTTTTGAGCTTAGAAAAAACACACTCTTGACGTGCATAACACGGTTCATACCCTGTACCGACACTGACTAGGTTTTTCCCGCCAATTTTATTTTAGTTCAAAAAATATTCATAAAGTGGTAAAAACTAGAATGTGCCAGCAGTACCGATTCTTCCGATTTGGAAGAAGTACTAGAAGAGAGCGAAGAGGGCGAAGAGGCGACAGTATGTTTACAAATATTAGAAAATAAAGCAAATCATAGGACATTATGGGTACATGAGATTAACGTCACGAGAATCATTAAGCGAAAAATAACGATTCAGTTCCCGTAGGTACTTTTTGAATTAATGATTCTCCCATTTTTGTTTATCAAGCCTTGTGGTTAGTGTTTGTACACTAACCAAACAAACACACACAACTCTGAACTTCGTTGACGAGTCAGAAAAACAACTACTCCGAGGGCAAATATCCTCACCGGCAGTGTAGTTCAACGCCGGTAAGAGTATTTGCCCTCGGAGTAGTTGTTTCTGACTGGTCAATGAAGTTCAATTTTGCTTGGACAGGGAGCTTCAGCCTATGTCCTTCTGATGAGTCCTAACAAGGATGAAACGCGTCAAGGAGTGGCTCGGGAAGGCAGGGTCCCAGGGACACTTTATCCGTTACGACAATTAGGTCATGTCCTACGGGCCAACTGCAGGCCTTTAATTTTTAAAATAAAATATAAAAGCCCACTATAGTAAAAACATCGACTTATTTAATAGCAGGACTAGCATATATTTCAATACTCTTTAATTCTTATAATTCACAGTGCACAATCACATTTGGTTTGGCCAGAGTGCACTGCCTGACGTCACGATGCTCTGGAATCGCTCCGCTCGCTCCATCGAGCATCAATCCGGATCACGCCCTAGAGTCACCGAACTGCGCTGAATCGCCGTTGCGTCATTAGGGCGAATTCTCATGAGCGTAAGTTGACAATTCTGGCGTAATCACGTGATAATATGGTGAAATTTGATTGGTAAAATATCCAACATATCGAATATTTTACCAATAAAACCCAACCATTTTATCACGTGATTACGCCAGAAATATCAACTTACGCTCATGAGAATCCGCCCTTAGCGCAGCACGGGCACATGGCAACTGGCAACGACTACAGCAGGAACCTGTTAATGCTTGTTCTAGAGCGGTGGTTCCCAACCTTTTTTTAGTCACGACCCTTTTACAGATTTGTTCATAAGGTCGCGACCCCCTACCCATTAATAAATAAAAAACAAAATTTCATTTATTCGAGAAATCTAAATACAAAAATTGAATTTTTATTCTCTTAATGTGATGACTGAGCTTGCATTCCCGTAACAAGTCTCGAAATTCTTGGTTGAGTTTTTGTTAAAGCCAATCTTATCATCTTGAACACCCAGTCTATTTCTGGCCATTGTTCTAATTCACAAAAGGGTTGAAAACCCCACTTTCACGAAGGTAGGTAGAGGCAAATGGTATTAGTATCCGAAAAGAAAGCTCAAGGAGGTCGACATAAGGATATGAACTATGTATGGCACATTAAAATTAAGTCAAGAATTTCTGCTGAAATAGGGCCGGTGCTGTGGGATCATTTCTCAGCTCTAAAAATTGATCCTGTACTTCATCAGGAACGTCGGCAACATCTAACGAGGCTAAGGTTCCTTACTACGGCAGCGCCCAGCGCCCAAGCAACGCCACGCGGCATTTGAGGCGAAGGCCAAGGCGTGTTGCCAAATGCAGAAAAATATAAACGGTGGTCCATTTAACTTGCGATAATCTATCTCGAAAACGACGCGTTTTTGAAAAAAAAAAAAACAAATAGAAGCTATGGTGTCACGAGGAAAAGAAAATGATAGTTTTTTGACTCTTTCAACTTTTATTTGAACTCTTTTTTTTAACGCGTCGTTTTTGATATATTAGACTGTCTCAGGCTAAATGGACCACCCTGTATATTATTATTGGCATTGCGACCCCTCCAAAAACCCTTTGCGACCCCCTTAGGGGTCGCGACCTACCGGTTGGGAACCGCTGTTCTAGAGCATCCAGAGACTTGAGCAGTGTCTTGAGGGTCCAGTGTACCACGGAGTCGTGCCTTGTTGTTGTTGAGCTTGTAGGACATGCACAGGCAACGTGGTACGAATTTTCCTCAGAGTTGCAACCCTTTATGCATCTTTTCCTCGCTAATGGATTTGATCCCAAGCCATGCAGCTGTTCTTCCAAGCTCAATGCCATCATTTTCTTTGAGGACATTTCGACCATATAACATGTTTTGTGACCATTCTTGTTTCATCATTTTGTAGTACCTTTCTTTGATTTTACCGAATACTTCTTGGCAACATTTTTTCTCTTCATATTCTGCCAGGTTAGTAGTTTGAAATCGTCTGAATCATTTTATTCAACCCTATAAAAAAGAACAATCACTCATGAAAGGCCATACCAAATAATTGACCTACAGGCCAGAGAAAGGTTAAAGCGTCACTGCAGGGTCCACTACTCATTGGGTCGATTCCCAAACAGGGACTCTTATGTCCATGATTTCACGTTGGTCATTTCCTGAAAAAAACTTTCTAACACACAATTCTGCACAAAACTGCTTGCATACATATCACGCGGTGACGCGTGTGAGGAAAGTGTAGATTTCCACAAATCAACGACAAGCGGAGACACGCGTGTTATGTGACGCCAGCGTACCTTGTTGGCTATACCGTATCGTGTAGTGTGTGTGATAGAGATCCATAAAAAGACACGTAAAATTGGATACCTCACTTTTAGTACTGCACGCGCCAGCTCGTAGCGTGACGTACCGTGTCCGTGTCGTAGATGTGTTCCCGGCTTAAGTGTTTCCAGAAACGTCTAAATGTATGCAACAATGTTTGACGTTTGACATTTGCACAGAGGAAGTTTTTTCTTTCGAAAGAGTGCGGTGGGAGAATCAGCGCCATTTTGTTTACTTGCCAGAGATGTTATTTATTGACAAGGGGGGTTCCTAAAGTTGATAATAGGTTGCCTAATGGGTAACTTAATAACGCATCTAGGATGCCTTGGAAATTTTCATTATATTGAAGCACCCCAAATGACGTCATAAAGTTATAAAGCAGCCTACCTGTCTCAAACAACATTGATTTATTGAAAAATTAGCCTTCGGGGCCATTACCCCTCTCTTGTTAATCTATAAAAAATTCAAGAGGGATGGGGGGGGTGTATGCCCTATGTCAAATTTGTTATGCCCTATCACAAATTTGACTCTAGCTACGGCCCTGAATATAGATAAAACGCACCTAACTGCAGCTAATTTTTTTTCCGGCAGATGGTCAAAAAAGTGAGCTTCTAAAAAAATATAGAATTAATGTGGTATTATGTGGTATTATTTATCAAAAATATTTTTAAAGTTACTAAATTGCAATTTTTAATACGTAACTGCATGTACTTCTTTTCAATTTTTTTTTTGAGTTGAACTATCTTGCAAGGATATTTTTTTTAAAAGATAACTTACTGTGTAAGTGTTAAAGAAAACTATTATCAATGCAGATTTTCGGCGAAACTTAACACTTCTAAATACAAAGCCTGCAAAATTTAACTAAATTGACTAAATATTGTGCATATTCTTACTGTCTTGTCCGGCAGATAAGGTACGGCGCATTTTTAAATGATAATGTTAAATTTGAAAATAAAAAACATGTTTTTAATTGGTTAATGGACATTACCTGAAATAATTTAAAAAAAAAAGCCTGTGATAAAGTTGGGAAATCGAATTAATTCCACCTAGAAGGCCAAAATTTCACACTGTGCGGCGGTTGAAACCGCGGGGAGCAGCTAGTATTTTATAATTGACAAAAGTAATGAAAATGGACAACATGTCTAAGGGCCGGTTTATGGTTTATTCACCTTCTGATAAACTATCAGGTATTTAATCTGACGGATAGAAACGCAATCTGTAATCCCATCGGTGGGTCAGTTATCCGCCGACCGATAGAATTATGGAACGATAAATTTATCTTGCAGATAGTTACCAGTAGAGGTTGTCTTCCTCTAGCATTTGATGAGCCAACTTCCAGCCAAAGGCAGCAGCTTCTTTGTCGCTTTGCTCCGAAATTGATATTAATTTGGACTACAGACGGTATTTAAACAAATGTATGATATGGTAAACAAGCCCTATAGTACGCCTGCTTTGAAATACCTATATATATATTTTTTTCATGGGTGATTCTAGTAGTTCAACATACGGCTTCAAGGGTATCTGTTCCGGTTCATTGATGAGCACTCTATGCCACACTTTGTCGAATGCTTGTGCTACATCCAAGAAAAAAGAATAAAATACCTGATCCCATAGTATGTATGTCTATCAAGTTTGTTATAACGATGTTATAGGTACTTAACTTGATGTATCGCAAAGTGTTTATTCCGGAACGCGAATGATTGGTGCGTCATTAGATGTTTTTCTCTGTGATCAATTTGAGCCTCTCTAGCAGTAGTGTCTGGAAGAGTTAGGAGTTGCTCCAGTACTGCACCTGTGATAAGGACATACGTAGTGCTTGGCTTGGTATAAGATTATTCTCTATTTTCTCAGCGTTCAGCAATTTCCTCCGAAGTAACTAATCCATAATGTCTTCATCTTTCTTCTACTGTGCGTTCCACTCACGAGGTAATTTACTATTGTTGATTCGTATGGTTTTATTTCGCTATTTTTGTTTTTTTTTTTGATTTTTGATATGTAAAAATTATTGTATAAGTTGTGTTATCGCATTCAATTCTCTAATTTCAATTTCGTGATTTGTATCGGTATTGATTAAAGGTTCAATGATTGATTAACTAATTTGAATAATTTTTTAGATTAAACATGGATGTTCTGCTGATTATTTTGACAATTTTTGCGATACTTGCTTTGCCACTATTAAAAAAGTACATAAAGAATAAACGAATTTCGAAATACATTGACCATTTACCAGGAGAAAAGTGGTATCCAATAGTTGGGACTAGTTTGAGTTCGTTAAAAGCGACCAGAGAAAGTAAGAGTGTGTGCATTTGATGATAATTCTTTAATTCAAACAAAAAACAAAAATTTATAGATTATTTTGACGTATTAAAAAGCAGACATCCCAGATTTGGACCTTTTATCAGACTCTGGTTGGGAAGCGTACCAGTAGTGCAAATTTACAAGCCAGAACATGCCCAGGAAATATTTAAAAGCAACAAAGCGATCAGTAAAGGCTCGTTTTACAAGTTTCTGTATCCGTGGTTGGGACAAGGACTAATATCAGGAAGTGGCCCTAAATGGAGAGAGCATCGTAAAATTATTACACCAAGTTTTCATTTTAAAGTTTTGGACAGTTACGGAGAGATTTTTGCTAGAAAAAGCAAACTGTTTGCTGATTATTTGCAAAAATACGATGGCAAAGGATATTTTGAAGTTACAGAAGACATTACGCGAATTGCAATGGATATAATTGTAGGTGAGTACTTTAATCACCCCTACATTGGTGTTATTAATTTCCAAGAACTTATCAATCGATAGTGGAAGGTGAAGCCGTTTCCGGAATGCGCCAGGTGGAAAGTCCAACTCCTCGCAACAGCTCTTTCCAGGCAATAATTCGTTCGAAGCCAAACCAAGTATATAAATTTTGGTTTGGCTATACAATTTTCAAATGACATATTTTTACACAAATTTTGTTTTGTTTGGGTTAACTGTTTGATTTGAAAATTTTCTATGATATTGTCACGCTCTGGCGTGCGTGACAGAAATCTTATGTCCGTTTATTCAAAAATCAAAGTAAAATTGACACAACAATAATTTATTCAACGTCACTACAACACTCTGACACTAATTACTTCACTAATTAACTTAATCAACAACTCTTACATTACAATATTCACTATTTAAAACACCAATCTTAAAAACTAAAAACTACTAACTAATCCCGGCCTTCATATATCCGTAATCCATTTCTGTAAAATCCAGAATAACGCAGTTATATTTTTTTCCGAAAAACGCAGTATGTTCTAGAATTCAGTTATGCGATTCTGTGCGACCTGGCGGAGGCGCCACATAACCGCCACAATATTATCAACCTTCTCCCAATATTTTGGTCGGCTCTCATTCCCGGATATTACTACAATTATTATTTATTCATGTGAATTAGAGGGGTTTGCATCGAAATTCGACTGGAAACGAGTTGTCTTACCATGCTTTGCCGACGGCTCGGACCTTTGACTCACGGTATCTTCAAAATGGTTTGGCATACAACGCTGAGTGATGTCCCATAGTGAAGTTATTTTCATTATCTATCTACAACGGGACTATACGTTTATAGAAACCAATCCCTATTAAACGTTACGCAAAAAATCCACACAAGTGTTTTTACTTTCTAGAGACTGCCATGGGTGTGAAATTGAATTATTTACAAAATACTGACGGGACAGACGCTGAATATGCTAACGCCATCATAGGGTAAGTATCATTGTTCATTAATTTTGAGAATGTGATTTTAAATTTGTTCTTTTCTCAAGTTTTGGGACAATCGTCTACAAAAGATTAGCCAACCCGTTGCTCCGTAACGATCTCATTTTCAAACTGACAGGAATAGGCAAAAAATCCCAACACTATATCGACATCATTCACAGTTTCAATGCTAAAGTTATTCAAACTAGGAAAGAACTTTTGAAAGATCACAAAAATGAAAAAGAGAAGAAGGACGAATTAGGACGGAAAGTAAAAATGAGCTTTCTGGACATGCTGTTAGCCCAGCAAGAGTTCGGAGACGACGAAGTCGAAGAGGAAGTGAATACTTTTATGTTTGGGGTAAAGTTTTGTTTCTGTTCACATCATCATAATAAGCAACTGAATTATTTCAAATCTCTATTTTAGGGTCAAGACACAACAATTTCATCTCTTACCTATACATTTTTGGCCCTGGGCAACAATCCGGATATTTTAGTGAGTAAAAAAGAGCCTGAAAGACTCTAGATGGAAATTGAAAAAAGTTGCGACGTCCCGTCAACCATGCAAGTTTTTTAATTGAGAGCGTAGAGGTTCAAAAAATGATTGATTCTCTCAAAAACTCAAAAATCTGTTTTGGAAAGCTAAGACATTTTTGTATAGGTTGTAATAAGTATTAAGTTCAACAATTAAGGACTATAGAAAAAAAACCTATTCCATTTTTCGCGCAGCACGCCGCGATTTCATATTCATTAGTGGTACCATAGACCTAACTACTACTATACGTAGTACCATAGACCTTACTACTATTATATGTAGTAGTCAGGTCTATGGTGGTACCTACCTACTCTACCTTGCACAAGAGTGCTCGTATTTTCATGTAGGTACCGCTCTACTGCAAAATATTGTCACAAATTCAGCGGGTCCACCAAAACACTCTTTACCTTTATACAGTGTACCAAGATAAGGATGGGATAGCATTAGGAGCTGGGGAACGGTTGGAGTTACAATTTTGGTTAGATTGGGAAAAAGTTGGGCAATTTGACTTCCTTTTACATAAAGTTTGTAGGATTCGGCTTTCTTTTTCTGATTTCGAATTTTCTTGAAAAAGTTATTTTTTCGATTTTGGCTTCAATTTATTTCTGACGTTATTTTGACAGATATCAGAAAATAAAAACACTGTTCCATTGTCACATTTTAGGCTCAACAAAATGGCGTTCACATATTTTTACTGGGACGTTTCGTTTCCCAGAAACCATTATCAACTTAATTTTTTAATACGGTCCTATTATTTTTATTACAAAATTTAAAGCCATTTAGAATTCTGAATTAGCTGATGTAACACTTGTAATGGTTTGAATACGTTTTTAGCTTCTTTGAGATATATTTTAAAATAATTTAGGAGAAACCTCCTGAGTACGGCTCTGAATGCTTCTAATATAATATGTATTGGGGAAAGTCATAACAGTAAAAAAGGAAAAAAACACAATTTTTAACAATTTTAGTCACTAAAAATTAAAAAAAAATATTTGTAATAAATAATCAAAATTATTCGAATCTGTGAAATGTATTATCCAATATCCAATCAATTAAGATCACTGTCAGGTTTTATTAAGAGACTTTTTTCCTTATAAACAATTGTGACTTTCCTCATAGATATTTTTGGAGCATCAAGCGTATGATATTGATCTCTAAAACGAATTGTTGAGCCTTCTTTAGTTCCGTAGAGGAAAGCTGTTGCCAAGATATCTCTTGTCTTAGAATATCGCCAGATGATTTATTTCCTTTCTTTCCGTGCTGTTGTTTAGCGTCACAATTTGAAATGGCATGCTAAGAGGTGGCTATGGAATTACCCGTGGTGAGGGGAGTGTTGAGGCAAAGCTTTGCTATTCGGATGGGTATGACTCATTGAAAGTTTGCTAAGGTTTCCCTGACGAGGTATTTATCGTAAGTTTGATGTGGTTGTATCATTTCAATGCGGCTCTCAGAATCATTTTCCAACTGTCACATATAATTAGTTAGATGTTGGCGTTCATTTTCATTGTGTTGCTTTTACGGTAAGACTGAGGAACATTGGATCCTTAGGTATGGACGGACACTACAAACGCGTCGTTGTCGATCGCAAAACCATGTTGAGTCATCAAGCTCATACTCCGAATAAACTCATCTATATCAGCAATATGCACGGTGTGATAGATTTTAACATTCTAACCTCAGGTCGACTACTTCCGGTTCACCATTTGCGGTCTTTCCAGTAATTTTCGCTCGAAATATCTCTTCGCATCAAATTTTTGGCAGTATTGAAATTTATCAGAGATACGGCGTCGCCAGTGTCCACTGTTATGGTGATATTTTTTCCAGTCTTTCCAAGAAATTTGATGGAATTCACTTAGGTACACAAGCTAACACCCGCTTCATTGCGTTGACTAATTGAAGTTTTCCTAGTTCCCCATCATCCGAAGTGGTAACATTCGATATTTGTTTCAAATTCTCTCAATTACTTCTGGCATCAACCCCGTGTTTCTTCCAAAAGCTCTTTTTCTTCTTGTGGTGACACAGCTCGGATTTAGGGTTTGAATATCTCATAGGTCGCTTCGATTTGTAGGGCTTTGATTGGAGCTTTGCTGCTACTTGATGGTATGGTTATGAGAAGCATTCTCAGTTTATCCATGTCTCTAATTACAATCATGAAATTTTCGGCCGCTAGTTGTTCTCGCATTTCTGCTGCTAGTTGTTCTCGTATTTTTGCTGTTGTTTCCAGGTAGGCCAAATAAACCAGACTGCCAATATCGGTTTCAAAATCTTGAAACTTTCGACAGCTTTCTGCTGTCTTGTTCTTGGGTGCACTTGGTAAAGCTACCCTCGGTATAGTTCTGAAGCAGGGCCGATCTACAAACAAGCTTCTAGCGACTGTACCTATGCCGTCGCAGCTCCACCATTGCAACAGACTCGAACTGATCCCTGCATATTGCCCGTGATGTCTGACCTTCGTATGAGGGCGGTTCAAGAATCTCGCTTGCGGGCGAAGTTAAGGCATTTCCTGATTACAAGTCATATTCCAACTTTTAACTCTGTTTTGAACACCATCCATTTCATGGCGAAAAGCTCCAACTGATCAACAGCCCCAACTTCCTGATGAACAGTTCCAAGTTCCTCACGAAGTCTCCCAACTTATTCAGGTACCTCTTTCATTGCATCGAGTTTGGTGTTGTTTTTAAGAGATCATGGTTTTACTCCATGGTCGCTGAAATTTAAATTTTTTTTGAAGCTGGTCCTGGTCTTCTTGTTTTTCTTCTGATCTACGATTTGCTTGTTGTTGTGAAGGTGCTGCCTGCAAGCCGGTCACAATTCTCCTTTTTATCACTTTTATCTTTGGCTAACTCTTCTTATTTTTCTTTCTGTGTTTGGGCTTTATTTTTTCTCTTCTAATTACTAGCTCAAATCAATCCAATAGTTATCTCGCCAATTATTCCACTATTTAGCTCAAACTAATCAATGCTATAGTCATCTGGCCAATTAGTTCACTATTCAGGTACCTACATCACATCAAACTAATACACCGTCTCGTTGATAATCCCTTTTCTGACATCAGATTGTCACGATTTCCGCGGGTCCATCAAATTCTCTTCACTAGCAAATGAACTTATTATTTATTACTTTTACTTAACTTTGAATAACAATTGTCTAATGTTACCTAACTCACACTTACAAGCGACGCGCTTTATATACGAAACCAGTCGAGCCAGAAATCCCCATAAAAGTCTATTCTTCTTCAAATTCCGAAAAATCCGGTTCGTGTACCCTGACGTCGTCTATTTCGGCACATTGTTAAATATTTCGTAATTTCGTAACAATATTTATAAAAAAAAAACTTGGAACCTTTTTGATAGACAATTTTATAATCTACATTTGTTATATTACGTTTTTTTTTTGTACTATCAATTTTTAAAATTTGGGACATTCGCCAGATAGGTACCTCACCCACTCTCTCTGAGAAAACCTAGGTACAGAGAGGTTGGAGGATACATTTTTTTCTTCTGATTTTACACACTAAAATCTACATCCAGGTACTCAAAAAATGAATTATAGGTATTACTAATTTATTGTAAGCCAAAACCTTAAATAAAGTAATAATTGTAGAGACGAGTCCAAGAGGAACTGGATCAAATTTTTATAGACGACCCAGACAGACCAGTGACTCCCGCAGATTTAGCACAAATGTACTATCTTGATATGGTCTTCAAGGAGGTTTTGAGGTGCTATTGTTTCGTGCCGTTTTTGGCCAGGGAATTGCATGATGATATTTTAGTTGGTTAGTAATTGAAATCATAATTATCTCGAACAATGTTCAATAAGTATAGGTACAGTGCCTGAATGAAAAAATACGCACCATATGGTAAATTTCTTTATGCTTTTGTTTTCTTAACTTTTTTTTGTGCTTTTAAAAATAATTGCTGGTTTGAACTGTTTGAAGTTTCCAAATGGCATGTGACAGGTATAACTCACGTGATAAATCGAACATTTTGAGCGTTTTTGATTCTGCACCATGCAGAATCAAAAAATGCCGAAAAAAAAATCCAAAAAACAAACGAATACAGAAATTTCCATATCGTGCCGACTGTATTGTGTGGTTTTGATATTATTTTGTTGAGAAATTATTGCTCCGAAGCAACAAAGTTTTTCAGATTATTTTATCAATGAGAATAATTTGATTATTTTCCAGATGGAGTCCTCCTTCCGAAAGGCGCAAACGTCACGATCAACCTATACGACCTTCACCATGATCCCGACCACTATCCAGACCCTTACAAATTTGATCCAGATCGATTTTTACCGGACCAAGTAGCCCAACGTCACCCTTATGCTTTTGCCCCCTTCAGTGCAGGACCCAGAAACTGTCTAGGTGAGAATAATTATTCTCCTCATTACGTTACTTGCATTTGTAAATATCTTTTTAATAGGTCAAAAGTTCGCAATGAGAAATGTCAAAACCCTCCTAGCTACCATTTTGAGGCAATACAACATTAAGTGTCAAGAAAAACCTGAAGAAGTCAAATATTATATGGAAATAGTTCTAAGGCCTCAGAACGGGTTGCACATAGCCCTGGAATCGAGGAGCCGTTGACTTAGTGAACTCAATACATTCTAAACTTTTGGGTTTGGTTAAAAATACTCTTTTTTTTTTTTTATAGAATCTAGGTACTTCGCTATATTTTCTTTATTGATGTTTAATAGATGTTTAATAAACCTGTAAAGACAAAATGTGGGCATTAGTTTCAAACACAAACCAATAATCACGAAAAATATACAAACTACAAAGCTTATTGTCCTAGATTTTCAAGGTGAAACATCACTCTTTATTTCTTCGACACGAGGAGCGAGAAATAAGGTTAAATAAACATGGAAAGAGATATTTTGTTAAAAATTTGATACGTTGTAAATCACGTTGGCGTTTCGTCTTAAGAATGCGACCCGCTTAGGAACAGTGCGTTATGAGCTGTTGAAAATAACTGACGCAGGTTTTAACCCGGTTGTTCTAAGTACATTAATAGTTTCTAGCAAGTGAATTAGTAAAAATTGCGAAAATCAACTTTTTGTGTACAAAAATATGTAGGTGTGCCATTACCATTTTGGGTTTTTTTTTCACTGATTTAGTTAGGTAGGTACCTATGTTGAAAGATTGAATATATCCAATGCAAAACATATCGCTATAAGTATACTTCTTACATTTTAATTGGGTAGTATAGTCGCCGTCACAGATATTTGAGATTCCTACAAAAAATAATTTCTTTGCCGGCGATGCCCCGATAAAAAAAAAACTGCAGCAAAAACTCTACAGATTAGGGTTAAGAATAAATATAGTCCAAGAGCTATGTTCTGGAATCTGGATTCGATTAGGTACCTACTTAAATTTCTTGCATTAAATCTTTGAAAGATCTTTTGAGAAAATTGAAAAATAATTTTAAACATTATTTACAACAATTTAAACCGAATAATTTCAAACCAATGTAATCTTGTACTCAACCGGTCCTGATACGTGCTCCCTGCTCCCTGACTAAATGCAGGCCCGTTGATAATATAAACATGATTTTTTGTACGAATCTCGAATATCTTTGGCGGATACTATAGTTTGAGTTTCCCTCAATGATTTACTTACCTGAAAATTAGGGAGAAACCAAAAAATATACGGGGTGTTTGGTACATCGATAGGAAGTTTTCAATGAGTGATAGTTGGGGTCATTTGGGAGCTGTTTGACCACATTTACCCTTACGTAAAGCTTCAACGTTTTTGAGATATCAGCATTTTTGGATATTTTTGAATTTTTCCTAAAACATACTGTTTTTTTTTTGGTAATAAACACTTTACCCTTCCTCAATTTTTTTTCCGATATTCCTAATATGCACTCTTTCGAAAAATATGGAAAGAAAAACCGAACGATTGATACAAAAAATATGTAGCTCACGTTATGTGTTAAAATACATATGGATTCAAAATATCTAAAAATAGTGATATCTCAAAAAACGGCCAAACTTTTCATTAGGGTAAAAATATGGTCAAACAGCTTCCAAATTCCAAATGACCCCAACTATCACTCATTGGAATATTCCTATCGATGTACCAAACACCCTGTATATAAGTACCTATATCATCTTATTGGAGTCCTTTGATTCTCAATTTTGGCACTGAATTGTGCAAAATTTTGCACAAGTTCCGAAAATAAGGATTTAACATTAAAAATAATAAGTATAGTGGATTAAATAAATGAAAATCAATTTTTGATTAACTTGAGATACAGAAAAATATTTTTAAGGTTAAATAAAACGCTAAATTCTCACGTCGCCATTCTGCCTTACCAATCTTTTTTTTTTTTATTTGGTCTGAATTGCCAAATCTTGAGACATTATGAATTGTGTGGTGATATATTTGGTTAATGTCCAGATTTAAATGTCAAGATTAACTAACTAAAGATTTGCCACATTTTAAGGTGAATGAACTGCGTCGGAAAACTCCTTCAAGAACCGCCAATGAAAGCCGATGTGAGAATACAATAAATTTTAATGATCCAACGAAGTTTGATTAACTATATTTACCCTGAATAAATAAAAAAAAAGAAAACGACCATATATGTTAATAATTGGGGTCAAACATGGTCACTCCACGAGAATAACAAATAAAGTCAACTTTTATTTTCAGCCAAATTTCAGTTAGTGGGATCTCTACCGAGTAATGAAAGAAACGAGAACTGTTACAGTCCAACAGTCACTTTCTTCTCTCTTCCGTGTACGCGGATACTGTGAACTGACCGAGAATTTATTTATTTATGTGGTTTAATTGTGGCGATTGTTCAAGAAATCGAAACAGGAAATACATATATTAATTTGTAAGTTTAAAACGAATATATTTTATTATTTTTCATTAAAATTTAGACTCAACCGGGATAATCCTTGAAGGGCGAAGGTCAACGACAAGTATTGATTTATTATCAAAACAAAAATGTAACTCTCGTGGCCAGATTTTTGTAAACTTTGTTCTGTAAAAAATATCAAGATCATCGCATACCTACCTACCTACTGTCACCAAAATCTGGTCAATCAAAAGAGTTCTTCTAGGCTGCCAACCTTTAAGTTTTCATCAACGAAATATACGCACTCTCGATAATGTATGTATGTATGTATGTATGTGTTGGAGGTGTCAGTTGTCAGTTTCACTGGGATCAAGGTTGATTTATTGTACCCCCCCTTCTGCTGCTAAGTTCGGGTTTCCTGCTCAAAGCAGCCCCTCTAGTCCTAGGTCCATTAGGAAGCAATTTTAGGATATCTAGCAGTTCCAGGGCTGGACTGTCTTCCAACTGTATAAGGACACTTCCCAAGTTCTTCATCCTTGAGCGACAAACGCCATCGCAGTTCAGTAGAAGATGGTGGGGTGTCTCTTCTCCGTCTTCACAGAATCTGCAGGTGCCACCTTCTTCCAACCCCAATTTCTGTAGGTGTTTCTTAAGTCTGCAATGTCCCGAGAGAAACTCGGTTAGAGTCTTGGCTAAGGTTAACCAGCAGTTCTGAACTTTTTTTGTTGAAGTTGCCCATTAGATGTCTGGCCTGTCGTAGTCCTGGCTGTTCTAGCCATTGTTTTTTCCTTAGCCGGTTCTCTTCTTTTTTGAGGATTTCTTGGAGGTGCGCATTTCCGACGCCGCAAAATGGTTCTGGCACAGTGAAGGGAGTAGACCCTCCCGTTCTTGCGAGTCTGTCTGCGCATTTGTTGCCCTCGGCCCCTACGTGTCCAGGCACCCAGAGGAGGGTTACTTGATTTTCTTTTTCCAGCTCATTCAGTTTCTGTAGACATTCCCATACTATCTTAGAATTGATGCCCGGGGAGCTAAATACTTTGATAGCTGCTTGGCTGTCAACATTATTACAATCTCTCGTTTTCGATAACTCCTCTTCAGGTTGAACTGCACGCATCTTCCGATCGCATGAAGTTCCGCTTGAAATATGATTGGCCAAATACTCCGGCTCCAGCTCCCTCAGCAGTTTTGGAACCGTCTGTGTACCTTTCGAGGCTGTTTGCTTCAAGGGACTGAATAAATTTTATATTCTATCTGTTTTTTGTTCGATGGAAAAGTTTTTCTTGAAACTGAATTCATCAACAATCACGTCTTTTGGTAGATCCATGAGGTGTGCGCAGTTTGGAACAGGTGAAGTTCTGACAAAGTGCGTTTTTCCTTGTAAACCTATCTTCGCTAGTCTGAGACATGATCCACTGGCAACTCGCTCTACTATTATGTGGAGTGGTGTGAGGTCTTGGATGACTTCAAGTGCCGCGGTTGGGCATAATCTCATTGCTCATGTTATACAGAGACACGCGATTTTTTGCACTTTTCCTAGGGTTTTCCTAGCTGTTCCTAGCCGGGTTCGGCTATACCAGGCTACCACTCCGTAGATGATGATAGGTCTCACTATCATATTATACATCCATCTTAGGGTCGATGGGTTACAACTAGTGATGTTAATGAAAAAAAAAAAAACGGTTATGTTTTTTATCAAGAGGACGTTTTTTTTTTATTGAAAAAATACACAACGGCAGGTGTTTTTTCTAGAACTTGTATTTTTTCAAAAAAATAAAATAAACATTCTGTTCAGGTATTATGTAACTTTATAATGAATAATCAATATTCATAAAACGGAATAAAGAACTAAAACTCAACGTTTAAAGATAAATAAAAATAGAAACTCAGCTCAACTTAGTCATTAGTCACTAATAACTAGTCACCTCTTCTTCACCGAATATTTTCAAAGTCAAACTTTCGTAAGTTCGCGCAAGTAAGCAAGGACACAAACTGGCGGGCTCTTTTGCATTTGGAAAATCCTTTAGAATCATTTCATAAGCGGCTGTGTATAGTATTTTTGGCACTTCCTTTCCAGTAAAAATATTAAAACAGAAAACAAGAAAACCATGGATTACAAAAGGTCTGAAAACATCAGCTAAACTTGCGAAGTTTGCATTTCATTAGAAAATACTTCAAAAACAATGAATAATTTAGTAATGTTTTTTCTTCATACAGGTGAATTTACAGACAAACAATTAAATGTGCAAAACAAATTCACTATAGTAAACGAATAAATCGTGCTGATAACAAGCAACGAGAAGCCTGGAAATGTGTCAACGAGCTGAGGGGTACGGCTAAGAAATTATGGGTAGAGTCAAGCCTATCGGCGGGAGATTTGAACAAGTTTTTTTGTTCTGTTGCTGCCTCATTGTCAAAAAACATTCCAAATAATTCTGATTTTAGACATTTCATAAATGACAATAGTATCCAAACTTCATTTTTTCTTTCTCCAACTGAAACAGTTGAAATTAGGAGGACTATGTCTGAAATTAAAAAGAATGGGGCTGCTGGATGGGATGAAATCTCTATTCGACTGTTTCTGGGGCTCCCAGATGAGGCAATAACTGTTCTGTCTGAGTGTATGGATTTGTCGTTTTGCGAGGGTATTTTTCCGGAATGTTTGAAGCGGTGGTAGTGCCTTTGTTTGAGGGTGAGGATCATGATTTACCTGAAAACTACAGGCCAATATCCTCATTACCGGTGCTTTCTAAAATCATTGAAAGATTAGTAAAAAAACGCATCAATGCATTTCTCCTTAAGCATAACCTATTAAACACTAGACAATTTGGATTTCAAGCTGGTAAAAGCACTAATGACGCTGTTTTTTCTTTTCTTGAGAATTTATATTTGAGTCTGAACGATGGGGACGTGGCAGTAGCAGTGTTTCGCGATTTAAGCAAAGCATTTGACTGTGTCGACCACGGAATACTGTTGCACAAGCTCGACCTTTATGGGTTCAGGGGGAGAGCTTTGAAATGGTTTAAGTCATTTCTTACTCATAGAGTTCAGAGGGTCTCAACGCTATACAATCGGAGCAGCAAGAAGTAGAATATGGGGTACCGCAAGGTTCTGTTTTGGGGCCCATCTTATTTTTACTGTATGTTAACGACTTGGCTAATATCAACATATCGGGTAAATTCACTTTGTTTGCGGATAACGCAACTATACTGTGGCAAAAGTCAGATGGCGACGGTGTAGCTTCTGACATAGAAATTATTAAGTCCTGGTGTGATGCAAACGGGTTATCTTTAAATATAAACAAAACTAATGTAATTTCATTTGGCTGCAATTTGGGGGATATTTTTTTGAATGGTTCTTTACTAAAAACTTGACCGAAAATACATTTTTGGGAATTTTCATTGACAACTGCTTGAAGTTTAAATCACACATAATTTCCATGGGCGCCGGCAGGGGGGGGCAAATCGGGCATTTGCCCCCCTCTGGATTCAGAAAGTTGAATTATACAGCAAAATCAAAATATATTTATTTTCTCAAAAATATAGAACACAACACATGTCAAAAGAAATCCACAAAAGAGCATACATTTTATTCATACATAAAACAAAACTATAGTATATTACATACCGAGGTGGAAAGTGTTTCATTACTGTCGAGAGATTCAAGTTAGAACGAGGCGCAGCCGAGGTCTAACTGAAATCTCGAGACAGTAATAAAACTTTTCACCGAGGTATGTATACTATTTTATTTACAATCATTCGAATTTTGAAATTTTCATTTGGATTAAAACTAAAAAATACAATAATTAACAATTTCATTTACTTTCGGCCCACGGGTCGAAAGTTTACTTTCGACCCGTGGGCCGAAAATAAAAGTCAAAAAATACAATAAATTTTTAAAAGGACCCCGCACACCTCTTATGGGATTTGGGACTTCCGCCAAATTTAATCAAATTCTAGTATGATATAAATTTGACCTTTCTGATCAATACTTAGCATTGGCCCAATTTGATCTTATGACTAGTTTTTGAGATACAGGTAGTTTAATGTCCAAGAAATGTACACATTTTATATGCGTTTACATCTATCTGTCACCTAATAATATACCAGGATGGTCAGGTATCCTCACGCTCAGGTGACAGGTAGATGTAAATGCATTAAAATGTGTAAATTTTTTGGACAATAAACTACCTGTATCTCAAAAACTAGTCATAGGATCAAGTTGGGCCAATGCTAAGTATTGGTCAGAAAGGTCAAATTTATATCATACTAGAATTTGGTTAAATTTGGCGGAAGTCCCAAATCCCATAAGAGGTGTGCGGGGTCCTTTCATTCACTTTCAGCCCACGGGTCGAAAGTAAACTTTCGACCCGTGGGCCGAAAGTAAAAGTCAAAAAACTGACATTTTCGAACTTCTTAAAAGTCAGTAAAGTCAACATTACATGTATGATTGTAAATAATAGTAGATTACATACCGAGTAGGGAAGTGTTTCATTAATTACTGTCGAGAGATTGACTAATAATCTCGAGACAGAAATGAAAACTTCCCTCCGAGGTTTGTATAGGTACTATTTTATTTGCAAGCACATCATTAATTATGATTAGTAATTAAATTTTTTTAATATTAAAAAAATATAACAAACATGCCTAAATGTGTCACTCACTGTTTTGAAGTTTTTACCTGACATGTTTTCATTGTTGCCAGCAAAGGTAAATAAATTAGAGTGAGGGAAATCGGTGAGGGAAGTCGAATAGGGAAATCGGTGAGGGAAATCGAAGAGAGAAGTGACACAGGTGAAGTGTCACTTCCAAATTTTTAAAAAGTCAGTAATGACAAGATTACATATATGATTGCAAATAATAGTATATTACATACCGAGTAGGGAAGTGTTTCATTACTATCGAGAGATTTATATAAGTCAATCGAGATGCGAAGCGTCGAGATTAACTATTAATCTCGAGACAGAAATGAAAACTTTCCTCCGAGGTTTGTATACTATTTTATTTGCAAGCACATCATTAATTATGATGAGTAATTAAATTTTTTTAATATTGAAAAAATAAAACAAACATGCCAAAATGTGTCATTCACTGTTTTGACGTTTTTACCTGACATGTTCTCATTGTTGCCAGCAAAGGTAAATAAATTACAGTGAAGGAAATCGGTGAGGGAAGTCGAATAGGGAAATCGGTGAGGGAAATCAAAGATGGAAGTGACACAGGTAAAGTGACACTTCCAAATTTTTAAAAAGTCAGTAATGTCAAGATTACATATATGGTTGCAAATAAAAATATAAACATACTTTTTCAAAGTTTCTTAGGTATAGTCTAGGAGGCAGTGACGATTTTCGGTACTTATTTACCTAGTCAGACAACATGGATAGAATTGTAGGGTTATAGTAATTCTAAGCAAAATACATATATTTTTAGGGGGGGTTTTCCGATGAGTTGAGGCGCAAAATGCGTTAAAGCTTACGAATGCACGGCCTTTTTTTTTCTCAGTGATAAAAATAGGTATACTAATGGGAAGTATACTTAAGTTACTTAAAAATATAGTCTGGCTAATCTGTGAGTATGGATAATATGTCTGGCAAATGAAAAATTGAAGATCCGAAAATTTTGAGCCAGGCTCACTTTCACTATCTGAGATAAGCCAAATTGCTATTTTCATATTTTTTATGTTCTATTGTAGTAAATGTGAAATATTTATGTCTGGGAAAATAAGCGTACTTGTATTTTTCATTGATCTTGTGAACCCATCCGAAAATTTTAACCAGACTCAAAAATTCTTGTTTCGTATCACCAGGAGAACAAACTATTTAAAGTCTGTTTTTTTTTAAGATAAAAGTCAAAATGACACTATGTTGGCAATACAATGTAAAAGTGTCAATGCATTCAATTTTTTATGTAGAAAAGGCTTGTGTTTTTTTTTTTTTACGGATATGCGCACTCGCAAGGAAATGTCCTATCACGCTCGAGAAGCGGCAAGTGCGCGGAAATGTCGGTGTATGTTGGTCTTGAAACGGTTCAGGTTGTAACCTGCAGGGAAAACCGTCGCAGGTAGTTTATTCCACAGCGATGCTGTTCTCCAGAGATATGAATTCTGATATAATGAGGTTCTTGGTGCCTCTAGTTTGACAGTAAATTCATGGTTACCGTCTGTTTGACGGGTTCGCCTGGTAGGTGCTACTCTCGGTGGAATCATACGTGCCAACTCTTCAGAGCATTTTCCGTGATAGTACCTGTAGAAGAGAGATAAATCGCCCACAGATCTGCGATGTTCGAGACCATCCAAGTTACGAGTAAGTGCGGGGTCATTGCGTGTTGCCAACATAGTTACTAAATTTTTGACTTGGGGAATTATCTTTAAAAAAAAAACAGATTTTAATAGTCACCAGCTGGAAAAATAAGTGCTAAAAAATTTCACTGCCTCCTGGACTATTATTATTTGAACAATAATTGAATCCTTCTGGGGCGGAAACCGAATTTTTTAATAACTGCATTGATAAATGCTTTATTTTCCCGGACTCTTTTACGATGAATACTCATCATACAAAGTCCGGAAAGTCTATCATGCCTCATAGTCGATCTTAGCCATGTCTTGACTCTTGAATCTCCTTAATGTGGTGAAGGACCTCTCAACGGTACAGGTTGTGGCTGGAAGGGTTAATCCAATTTTGATTGCTTCCGTTACAGAGGGCATATTGCCTAACGAAAATTTTAGCAGGTCGATATATTTCAATTTTTCAATTTCTTGAGGAGCAAGTTCAGACATACCAGGTTTGTGCCTCTGACAGAAAGTTGTCCAAAATATCTCCGTAGAAGTCTTGAATGGCGGCTGCTACCTCTAAAAATTCTTTCAAAGTCATACTCGCATGGCTTTTGGATGAAGTTCATACAAGTTGTATCCTTTTTTTTTTCTGAAAATCGATCTTCTAGAGACACATTTGCGAAAATTTACACCGGTGGCGCATGTACGGGGACAGGACCCCCTTGCCTTGCCCCCCCCTGTCCCGCTGGCTGGCGGCGCCCATGATAATTTCTTTAAAAAATATTGTCCGTCGTTTTCAATCTGACACTTTCCGTATGAGGAGCGAGGGGGTGAAGCTTATGGCAAAAACAGTGTGACGTCAGATGACCATTGGCGTTCTAATGTAGGGAGCCACCAGCTTACATTCCTTTGGAGTATCATATATAAATAGACGGACTTTAGATTGGCGTCCAATCAGTGGCGTCTGGCCCTAAGGGGCCAAGGGGCCGTGGCACTGGCGCAAAATATGTCGGTCTTTTTAAAATATATATTTTTTTTTTTTAGTTCAATAGTTATTACAATCGTCAGATCAAATTACTTATCATTTTTTAATTTGATCCCGACGAAAAAATTCCTGTCGTTATTATTCCTAAATTTCCTAGACAATAATTCAAGCGACTGACTAAACTAAACTCGCTGGACTATCCGTCCGAGCACATCTCACAACAGCCCCGCTGCAGCATGGCAATACGTTGGAAAACAACGCTCGAGGTCACGCCGCGCTCCCAGTAACCAGCTGTATTTATACGTACAAACGGGGCCACCTGATCGAACGGCCCGGATTAGTTTTTGCGGCAATTTAATTTGAGAGTGAGAGATATTTTTTATAAGTTTGATTCCTATTTGATTTGTATCGTGCCTTATGTTTTATTTTATATAAAACTGTTTTAATAAGTTTCTCTTACTCTGCCCGTGCTTCATAAAGAAAACGCCGAACGCCAAAGGATTTTTTTTTTTACTGTCTCATTTGACTATCGATAGACAGTCAACGTTGACTCCAGAAATATCTTATTGGTTAGATTTTTTAGCGGCGTCTCTGGCGCCATAGGGCGACATATTTCTTTGAAGCGCCTGCCGCAAAGAAATCAGTTTCGTCTGGAAAGACAGTGCAGTAGATATTTTTTATAAATTTGATTCCTATTTGATTTGTATGGTGCCTTATGTTTTATTTTATACAAAACTGTTTTAATAAATTTCTCGTACCCCACCCGTACTTAATAAATAAAACTCCGAACCCCAAAAGAATTTCATTTGTTCTACTGTCTCATTTAACTATCGATAGACTATAAGTGCATCGGCGGATCGATAATCGAAACTCAAAATTCAAATAAGTGTTTTCTACCACTACCAATTACAAAATGAATAAAATTTGCAATTTGCTAACAAAACATTTCTCTACACATTGGCTGTCATAATGAAATACATAGATGACATAATCAAAATTTGGGTTAGTCCAAAAAATTCGCGCGCCTCCGGCGGAGTCCGGCGGGGCACCTTCTGTGGGCTTCCCCCCTGAGTGTGCACCGCCAACTTTTCCTCTCACCACTGCGTCCAATTGTTATGCAATTAGGATATTGTCAGGTGAATTGGATGTGGGAATCGTCAGAAATGCTTACTTTGCCCTGATTGAATCTCATTTGCGATACGGTATTTCAGAGTGTGTTTGTCTTGCAAAAGCGAGCTATCAGATATTTGTTCAGGGCCAGAATGCGGGTGTCGTGTCGGCCTTTATTTTTTAACAATAGAATGTTGACCCTTCCATCGCTGTTTATCTTGGAGAGTGTGTATCTTGGACATAAGAAATTTAAAGATCAGTTAGGGGCTGAACGCGCGTATCTTTTTAGACACCAACAACAACTTTCCCTCCCTTCCGAGTTGTTAAGAAAATCGATTATATATAATGGCAAGAAGATGTTTGATAACTTACCACAGTCAACAAGATCAATTCTCTCCAATTAAATTTAGGAAGGAGATAAAGAAACTGCTGCTTGTGGGAACTATTAAAGTATTGAAGACTTTTTTAATGCTTTTTGATTTTGTATGGTCTTGTATGTCATTTCTTTTTTCTTTATCTTTTTTTTTATTCGTTTTTGTTACCTCTGCTATATGTGTTTAATATGAGTTTTAACGCCCTCAATGTAAAATGTTCTCTGTTCTTTTAAATTATTTCTCTGGTTCTTGAATAGGAACAGTTTTTGAGTGTTTTAAGTTTTATTTTTTATGACTGATTTTTATTTCTTTAATGTTTCCTGAGCTTTTCTATTTTAAGTATACATTTAAATATTTTTCCTAGGACTACAACTGTGTACCTACCTACTTCATTTTTTAGACATAGGATCAGCTTTTGTGGGCAAATATTTATAATTACACAATAATTTTGAGTTTGAGTTTGAATTCAAAGTTCTCAGAAATCAAATTCTGTGTCGTGAGTGAACAGAAAGTTCGGACGAATTTGAGCCAGCAGCAGTATCAGTATCAGTAGATGACCCGTCCTCGCTCTTACTGTTCAATTTCAGTGTGACATTGTCTTCTGCTTTTCGTATTGATCTTGATGTTATTCCAGTTGTGCTTGGCAAATTCCTTGTAATTGTCATGGTAATCTCACATTCAGTCCCAGTGTTAGTGGTGGTGATGGCAGTGGTATGTAAGGATTTAGGTTCTTCTAAATCAGGGTTCAGTAAAACAACCTCTCTGTTCTACATAGTTCTATATTCTGCTGTCTAGGTGTTACAATAATTAGTTGGTCTCAGTGGGTCAGTGCTGAGTGTGTAGAAATATGTAGGTATAACAAAAATATAATCGATTGCTGCACAATCATTATCAACAATACTAATAAGAACAAATATACAGGGTGTGTTACCTCCATATTACAGGTACTAGGGGAAGTGTTTTGTTCATATTATTGGACTTGAACAGTTTGCCTTTGCAGCTTTAAATTGTGCCCGATATACACAAGTTTAGCAGCCCTGTCGTTTGTCAGTCTGTTCCTTTTGAGGGTATGAATTGCCGCATATGTACTGAAACTCCTCTCACAAGCAGCTGAAGTAGCTGAATAAATTTTACTGGTAATTTTGACAATTCTGTACTTTCAAATAAACCACTCCACCAGGTAGTTGGTGATATTTCAGATGCTGTTAATCACAGGAATTTTTTGCTAAAAACCCCTTCTTCTTTGCTTGGAAATTGGAAAGTTCAGATAAAAGTGTTATTTCATACTTTTGCAGCCTCGAAAATGTCTTCCATTGCATCAGTCTGAAAAAACATTAACAGACATTTTAGCGAGAGCATGTATATTTTGATAGTAACGAACCTGTTCAGTTGGAGTGAGGTCAGAATCTCTTATAGATGGATCTAGCAAATTGCAGATCTTGTGAACACCACACACGACGAATTCCTTTCTGTCTGCAATTATTTTTGCTACATCTTGTTCTTCCTCTTTGAGTAAAGGACTCGTTGGCAAAACTTTTTTGAAATGGTCTTCAAGTTCCTCGAAAATTCTAACCACCTTCGAAATTCGTGGTTTATCACTTTCAATAACCTAATGAAACCATCTATTTTTTCCCAAAATATATCGTCCAGTGCATTTTTTTAAAGGCAGGGTGCTTATTGAATAATGCTTGTAAAGTTTCGACGATTGTGAGAGACTTTATAGCCTGCTTATTTGCCTGCACACTGCACACTTTTAAAACAATAAATTATGGATCCCCATCTTGTCACAACAGGTAGTTTTAGCGAAAGCGGATTATCTTTATTTTGTTTTTCCTTAAAAGCGGATATCAAAATTTGTGATCGCCTGATGGCTTTTATTAAGGGCCCCATGCATTACGTTCTTTCTCGTCGGTTTTCATCGCCACGATGAAACACGTCGTTCCAAAACACGACGGTTTTCTACCACACACTTCGGTTTTGGAACGACGTGCTTCATCGTGGCGATGAAAACCGTCGTGTTTCATCGTAGTCTGTGGGGCACTTTAGTGTTAAGGGCCCAATACACTACTTTCTTTCTCGTCGGTTTTCATCGCCACGATGAAACACGTCGTTCCAAAATCGAAGTGTGTGGTAGAAAACCGTCGTGTTTTTCTATCACACACGTCGGTTCTGGAACGACGTGTTTCATCGCGGCGATGAAAATCGACGAGAAAGAGGTAGTGTATGGGTCCCTTTACAGTTTCAGTCAGAAACTTTTGTAAAGTTACTAGCTTCTTAATATCACCGCTGATATCACTGATTATCAGATTTAATGAGTGTCCAAAACAACCGTATGCTGTTGGCAGGCTTTTGTAGAGTAATAGAGCTGGTGTTGTTTCTACAAAGTTAATGATCGACTCATTGCGTATGTTACTCCAGCCATCACACATTATAGCAACCGAATCAGCAGCCGCAATTTGCTTTTCTACAGGAGCATGAACATTATTGTATTCCCGCTGGAGTAAAGACTTAGATATTTCAAATCGAGAAGGTATATTTCAAATAATGGTCGTATGAATTTTAAGTAATCTAGCCAATAAAAATTTTCCACCATAGCCAGAGGTGCACCACTGGCATAAATTGCTCTAGCCAGGAGCTCATTCGCTTTCAATAATTGATCACTTGTAGTTCTTTTATCAACAGCGACAGCAAATGATAAAATTTGTTCTTATTGCTGTGGCTTGATGTCAATCGTGGTGCAGAAGAACAGGATGGAACACTGGGAAATGACCTGGCAGGCGTAACATTGGCGTCTGTGCTTATCTGGAAAGGTTTATTTTTCATATATTTTTTTTTTTACCTGAAGTGGACATTTTAAGCACTGATCTATGATGTGTGTTTCCATTCGGCTTCCATTCTCAGACGGTTCTTTCAAGCATAATGTGCACATTACCCGTGCTGTTTTCCCTTTTGGTACAGTGTGTTTGAACAAACATGCGACAGGGGTTCTCTTTCATCCAGATCCCGGAAGGCGCGGCATAATTTTGCTTTTATTTAAAACCAAACTGGGTATGGAAAGTAGTTGGTTGGGTACACGGTACACGAAAAACTACACAGAGCAGACTTCACTACGTCAATACGAAAGCAAAAGCACGTCTATTTAAAATAAAATCACTGCACTAAACATTTAGTCAAACTCAAAATCAAACGACAATACAAATTAAAAGCGTTTTTTGCGTGCCAACACTTCCAGCGAGACGACTAAAGACAAGCAGCAACACGCATTGCGCAGCGGAGTAGTTGACATCACACAACAGACAGCTGTATCGTGCTGTACATGCGCCGATGAGCCAACGCGAATATTAAAAAAAAACTGATTTTGTATTTTTTCACTATAAAATAGGTACTGTTTTTTTTCACCGTTTTTTTTTTTTTCAATTTTGAAAAAAAAAAAAAAAAATATATTTTTTTACATCTCTAGTTCCAACCCCACGGTTTACCCGCAATGTTTTTGCAGACCATGAGTGACAAGATTGCTTTGTTTTTTGGTGTTCTCTACATGTCATTTCCAGAGAAGTTTAGAATCTGGGGTTATTCCTAGGCATTTAACCTCTTCTTTCCAGTTGAATCTGCTTCCATTGAGGCGAATATTTCTCAGGTTTGGGAGTTTCGTTCTTTTTGTAAATGTTACCAGTGTCGTTTTCGCTGAGTTTAGATTTAGCCCCACTGTCTGACACCATTCCTTCGTGGTTCGAAGTGATTTTTCTATAAGGTCGCAGAGTATTCCTTTCTATTTGCCTCTGGTCATGATGACAATATCATCCATTTTTCATTACTTGTTCTTTCACGGGACAGCTGGATTCGTATGCCTCCATCATTGCTCCGGTAAAGGATCTGAAGGATTTCTTCTACTTCACGGGTATTCTTGCAGCTAAAATTATTTTGTTCAAGGTTGCATTGCAGTTTGGTCAGTTGCGGATCCAGGGGGGGCGCGCGCCCCCCTCCCTGAGAGTCACAAATACTAATAATTTTTTTTTTAAAAATCATAGAAAAATTTTATAAAAGAATTTTCCAATAAAATGTTATTGGAAAATTTTCCAAGCTACACTATTGTTCAATTTATTGTTTTGTTTTCATCAGATAAATGTGTTATACTTTTATTTGGATTAGGTTTTTACATTTGTTATTTTCGGTTCTTTGATATGTGCAGGGTTGTCCAATTTCGACATTTTTGATAGAAAAACATCAATTTCTGAGCGAGATACAAAAAAATCAACCCCCACTCTGAGGCTCAAATTTTATGATATCTTGAACCGTTTTGTGGCTAGAGAATCCAGTGACTTTCTCAGTTTTTTTTCTATTTGTTCCGAATTCGAGATACTAAGAGACCGATTGTTTTGATGGGACACCGGACACCATATATTAATAACTGGTTAGATAGCTCTGCTTTTGCTGCTTTAAATGATATAAAGTTCGATTGGTTATATCTGTTTTTGTTATGAGAAACAATGTGTTAGAAGAGGACTTTATATCTATAAGGAAAATGAGATAGGTCTCTTTCTAACACATTGTTTCTTTTGATTGAAACATCTATAATTTTTTTTTTCTGGAAAACTGTTAGAGATAGACCTATTAAACCTTATATTTATCAATAAAATAAGCAATAATAGAGCTATCAATGAGTTGTTAATATATACCTAGGGTTTTTTATTTAAAAAAAATAAGACAAATTAAAAAAATTGAGTACATCATTGAATTCTGCTTGGAAAAGTACCTCTAAAGTTTATACAGAAATCAATTATTTTCATAAATGAAAAAGTTAGGGAGGTTTCACCTTATTGCTCAAAATCAAGAAACATCCTCTAGCGGCAAAACGGTTGACGGTACATATCAAAAAGCGGTTTGCAGTGTTTGCACCTCCAATCAAGATTTCATGAAATTTTAGCGTCAGCAGTGTGGGGGGTTCATTTTTTTGTATCTGGCTCAGAAATTGACGTTTCATATCAAAAGTGTCCAAATTGGACCACCCTGTACCTACATTCTTTAACGTATAAGTAAAGTAAAAATAAATTTTCAAGAAATCATTGTTGATAATTCTAAGCCTGCGCCCCCCCTGAAGAAAATCCTGAATCCGCCACTGAGTTTGGTTGTGTATTTTTCCCAGTTCGTATTTCTGGAGTTTCTATACGAAGTAGTTCGTATCTTGATAATACCCACTAATAATAATAAAGTTTATCTACCTACAAACTTCACAACATTTTTAAAGATGCTAATTTTTGCTTTAAAATTTTCGAGCCAAAAGTTTACACATATTAAAATTTGCAAATTATTACTTCAACCAGTCTCTTATTTTATTTTTTGTTGTTTTTGTTAAGTTTTGTTTATTTTTAATATCGAGTGGTAGCAAGCTCAATAATCTGGGTCCCGTGAATAAAATATTTCTCTGAGTGGTCGAATAGTTCTGTAGAGAGGTATAACATTTTATTTCGGTCACAGCCCTAGTTTGTATCGAGTAATTAACTATATCTTAGAACAATTTATAATTTAGAGAAAATACTGTATGACTCTAACGCAATAAAGTTGCCTCAAGTTTAAGAATTCGTTTTGAGTGGAATACATCTTAGGTTTGAATAATAATATTTTTAGTACATACTTTTGTGCTATTTTCAGTGGTAACAGGACTGAATCGCAAGCGGAACCCCAACACAAAATACCATAATTCAAAACAGACTCAGCCAAAGACCAAAGAATAATAGACCATTTTTGTTAATTGAGAAGTTAAGCTATATCTAAGTTGAGAAAATGTATAAACCAATTTTCTGATTTTTTTACTGACGTAGTCAACATGTACATTCCATTTTAAGAATCTGTCAAAGTATACACCTAGGTATTTTATGCTGTCAGAGGATTGAATTTTTGATTGACAATTGCAGTCTAAATTAACTTTACATGAAGCCTCGTGTAAGATTAGGAAATCTTTGTGTGACATGCCCCGTTTGGTCATGGAGAACGATTTAAATTTGGTCTAATCAATATTTAAGGTTAGTTGATTTGAGTCAAGCCAGCATTTTATCTTGTGTAAGTCCAACTCTGCTTTCGTGCACGCATCAAGCAATGAATTCCCTGCAATTAACAGGGCAGTATCATCTGCGAAACATACTACTTTACCGCTAACTTTCAGTTTTAAAAGGCTGTACACGTACAACGAGAACAGAATTGGGCCCAACATTTCACTTTTTGGTACCTATTATCCAAGTTAGAATCAAACTACCTATGTACTACTCCACGAACTCCAATACTTCCAAAGCGTTTGAGTAGAATAGGTTGTGCAACCGTATCGAACGCCTTTTTCAAGTCCAAAAAAACCACTATTGGTTAAAGATCCCTATTTAGGCTCTGAGTAATAAATTGGTTGACTTCATTTAGTACATTATCAGTACTTACTCCTGGCTTAAACCCAAACGAAAATTCGGCCAGTAGTTGGGGTGCGTGCTACCTGCCAAGTGGGACGAGCACCCCCACAAAGTACTACAAACGCCCCCATCCAATCACCTGCTAGCGATACCTATAACCGGCTCCGTCAAGTTAGTTACACCA